AGTTTTTAACAAGAACTTATTTGTTAGAATTAAATAAACAACAATGAAGGTTTTTTGACAGTACATTGAAGCTTTAACTATAGCCTAAATAAACTATATATCAATCGCTGCATTTTTCCCCCCAGAAAGATGCAGTGTTAACCCTAACATTTTATTTTAAGATTTAACATTTGTAAATGGTCTAAAGCAAAAGGGCTGTAAAAATTCAGAAAATCTTTTAGAGCTTATGATTCGTTTAAAAAATAAAATATATTAGACATTAATGAATAAATCCGTATATATAAAATTAATTTTCAAGTGTCATGTTTGATTTTTTTTGTAAGCTATAGCTTCTGACCTTTTAAATCAAAACATACTCATTATTTTGCTGCCACTGTATGTGCTATTACTGTTTACTCTATCATACACCGAACCAGTCATTCTGTACGTGCTTTCACAGATTAAATGCAGCAATCCAAACCAGTGAATCTAGTCATCATTCAGACCAAAACTTTGCTTCAAGAATGAGCCACACTGCTGACGTGATCTAATCACTAGCACACCCTGAGCACATGTGAGTTAAGGTATTCCTCTTATCAGCAAGACATATCGGCATAATTTTTCATATCTGGCCGATGCTGATATTTACATTTAAAGCCATTATCGGCCGATTCCGATATCAGTCCGATAATATCGTGCATCCCTACCTATAATATATGTGCTTTGGAAGAGGTTGGATGTCTAGGTTTAACCTTTTAAACACCAGTAAGCTGTAATTATGAGATAATGGGATCGTTAAAGGTGTCCAAAATGAAGTATGTGCTTCACATGCTAGTCACCAGTACAGCAACAGACAATGTTGTGGGAATATTACAAAACATTCTGTCTTGAGTTTTCTTCCCACAATAAAAGTCTGTTGTCTCTTCACAATCTTTAAAGCACCTCAAGTTCTTCCTTAAATCTCCTCCTCATGGTGTCCTAAAGCTGTTTTGAGTTTGGTGGTTTAGTCTTGCTCCAGTAATAATTGTTTCCCAGTGAGATGATGATCTCCAGGACAGGTTTAAGGTTTCTATTTTGAAGTCCAGTATTGATATTATATACCCAGCTCACCCCAGTTAGCCAAATATTTTTGTGGCCCTGAGTTTTTTTTTTACCTCAGGCTCTTGCCAGATCTGCGTGGATGCCTTGTTTGTGAAGTTTGAGTTGTTGGATTTGTTGTTTAGCTGCCTGTCATGTAATCAAATCGATCTGCTTCTGTTTGAAATCAGGACTAAATCTGCTCAGACAAACCGTGTGTGACTGCAGTATCTGTGGATGGATCCGTCCTGCTGTGTTTTGGACCGTCCGCTGATGATCACATTACGAGGACATGTATTATACCTGATGGGTCATGACTACTAGCAGTAAAACTGAATGTTGATATAAACTGACAGCTCACTTTGTTTGTCTACGTGCCCACAGGCAGACACACACACACTGTTGTACACATGTAGACAACACACAGCCAGATATCTCTGATCAGTGGTATTATTTTAAGAAAATGTGCTCAAGTTCATATATTCATATATTCAGAGTTTATTTATTTAAATGAATGTCTCAACATTTGTCTGCCAGATCATTTGGTGCAGCATTCAGACAAGATCCCATTTAGTTTTAGTCATATATTTAGTCACTTTCAGTTTCAGAAGGATGCCCAAGCTTCTACTTCACAACAACTGTGCAGAGGACATGATTTTACCCATAACTCCATGTGGCAAAGAGTAGATTCGCATGAGGAAGTCCATAAGGTGCTGTTTGAGATTGGGTCTTCATGTGCAGTAACATTTACTGTTATTCAGCAAATTTTGCGCACAAACTCCAATCAGTTTAGGAATATTTTGAGAGGCAAAAAAAAAATTCCCACACAGATTTCGCAGCTGATTCAGGTCCTCCATACTAATTGAGTTCTCGTGAAAAGGGAAGACGTGGTAGTGATGAATCACTGATTCTGTCTGTGAAAGTTTTCAGAATAATAATTTGATTTCATAGTCTGAGAATTAGTAAAATTATGGAAAATACCCACCTGCGCCAAAATTCAAGCTCTGTTTAAACGAGTACAAGGATGAGTACAAATAATTGTCTGTGGCAATCAACTGCATGCTAAAAATGTTGTTGGTAGAGCTTAACTTGTTTTAAACTGACGATATTGGTTTAAGCTTTTCTTATAGGCAAGCACATTCAAAATATCAACATGCTAATTAAACAACATACTTTGAATAATCAAATAGAAATGTTTGTGGCAAAATGGCTTGTGATTTGTATTTTGGCTGCTAATTAATGCCTGTCTCCTCTATCTTTCTTTTTGTCAACCCTCATTCCTTTTCCATTTCCCTACCTCTTTTCCACCCTCTCTCTATCCTTCTCTTCTCCCAGTTTAACCCCTCCCACACAGATGCTTCCGGCCGACCTGATTGGTGGGAGTGATGTGTGAACTAGGTACTCATTTCTTTACTGTCCCCAGCTGCACTAGGACACCTGCTTTCCAAATAAAAATCAATAGAATGTCACAGAGATCTATATTATCAACTCTACTTGCTCAGTAAAATGTAAATAATACTTTTGATTTAAAATCTGTGTAAAGGCAATTCAAAGAATCGTTTCTAAACGCATTGTGAATGTTAGAAATATATTGCTGAAAACACATTACAAAGACTGTGAAATTGTCCATTAAACATTAAACATTAAACAGTTTTTCACCATTTTTTGTCCCTAACACTATAATAACTGGAGCGCATTAGCATCAGTGGTTTGCCCGCTCGATCGCGAGTTACTGTCTTCTTTACCGTTATTTACTACAGCCTACAGTTTGCTAGTTAGCTATGCCTTCGTCACGTAAATGCATATTACCTGGTTGGTTCAGGTTGTAGCGGTATTTAACAGTTGAGAGAGGTGGCAGCTTTCCTGTCAGTGGGTGTGGTTTCAGTGCAGACAGCGGACACGCCCCCAGCGTTTTAGGCGTGTATTTTTTCAAGATTTTAATAACTTATTTTATTTACTTGGCTATTTTATCATTCGAATTTGGCTGGGTGGTTAATAACACATTTATCTGTGGTGTGACAAACTCGGAACACATTTAATATTTCTTTACACAGACTTTAAGACAACAGCAACTCTTTAAGGCAAAATCTAAAATGATAGTAAATGTGAGATCACAATTGACCATTAATTTAAAGATTACATTTTTTGCCATTTTAAGTATTTAGACCGAAAGCGAAGTGGGAGAGAGCGAGAGGGGGGGGATTGGGAAAGGTTCGCGAGGCGAAACTCGAGCTCAGGATGCCCGAAGCTCAACGGCGCTGTAAGTCGGCTTGCTGCCCACGAGGCTATTGGCGCTGACACAATTGATCATATTATTAAAAAAAAGGTTGTTCCAAGAAAATATCTTCATATATTGGACATAATGGCAATGTTATGATTTTAAAGGGATAGTTCACCCAAAAATGAAAATTCAGTCATTATTTACCATACTAGTAAGGACCCTTGCTGTCTATGGGAGGTCAGAGAGCTCTCAGATTCCATCAAAAATATCTTAATTTGTGTTCCGAAGATGAACGAAGGTCTTACGGGTTTGGAACAACATGGGGGTGAGTAATTAATGGCAGAATTTTCATTTTTGGGTGGACTATCCCTTTAAGTTATGAGAATGAAATTAAAGTTCTATTTTGGTTTTAATGAATTGAAGGCAACCTGACAATCAAGCGTTAAAAAGTGTTTAAAATATGTCTGACCGGTTATATGGTGGTTGAATGAATAAATGAATGAATGAGGAAATAAAAAAAAAAAAGTAATATAACACCGTGTCCTAACTATGTTGGATGCAAAACTATAATAACTGATCATAATACTAATCTATTATAATCGAATAATCTATTAACATTCTACTAAATATCTGATCTACATCCAAGTCAACCAAGTCAATGTCAAAATATCTTGACGTTTTGTGACTGTGGCTAGTTTGGACACGTGTAGGAGTCTGGCACGGCATGTGTAGCACTTAGGAGGGTTTTGTGGACCCAGATGGCTTTTAGATACCAAGCAGATGTGATTGTCCTGGAGTTCAAGGCTGCTGCAGGATCATGGGCGATATGGGGGGCGGGGGTTAGACGCATCTAATCACTGTCATTAATAGGGAGAGTGCTGGCCCGAGGCCACAAGAAAAGTAAACAGGACTTGATGGTTACCAAAATGTGTCCACTGATAAAGCATACTGACCTTCATCAGTCACTCGCTGTCTTTCTTTCGCTTCTCACCCATCCTATCTTCATCATCCTATTCCCCCCTCATTTCTCTGACCTCTCCTTAAACTTTATTATTATTATTTTTTTTTAAATACTCTTTTGCTTGTGTCCATAAATGTAGATGTTTGATCACGCTTCATTGTTATGTAAGTGGTCGTTTGAGTCCAAAACCACACTGTAAAGTGTGGGATGTGATTTTATAAACCGTTATTCATTTGATTAATGGTCTCGGATCTGGATTAATGGTCTCAGATCTGGATTTCCTTTAAGTTTCCATTTCATTGCATAACTTATTAATCCGTTCATTCTGCCTTTGCCTCCATAAAATGAGTGTGAAGTACTCCGTTTTTATTTAACAAAAAACGAAGGGATGATTTTTAGGTAATTATATTGGTTTATGACTATATGGATTATCATTTTATTTTGTGGAATGATTACAGGAAGTCTTCAGATGAGCACTTTCATTTTATTATTCATTCATGAATAACATTGCTCTGTTTTCTAACCCCAGATGACTTGACTGGCCAATCAGTGGAGCATGAGAGTGTGCTGACAGCCAGAGCAGCAGTGTTTCTACCAGAGCGTGAGAGGGAGTGGAGGAGAGGAACAGATCCAGAGGGAGAGGAGGAGGAAGAGGCAGAGGCAGAGGAGCAAAGGGGAGGAATGGGTGTTGGTAAAAACACCACCTCCAAATCCATGGACTCCGCCGCAGAGCCTGGCAAATATGAAGAGGAGAACAAACACAATGCACACTCCTATCCCATCCCAGTGAGTGTGTGTTTGTCTGTGTGGAATGATGCTAATCATAGGGTCAGAAACAATGCCTTCTAGCCTGTTATTACAGTGACTCTACAGGACACTGTGGTCACGTGTACTTTAAGCAGGACAGTGTGGTGTGCAAATTGCAACTTTAAATATGTGCCATTTAAAAGCTGGATTTTCAGAATTTTCTGTTTCAAGTCTCCGTAAGCTACAAGGAATGACAAACAACTTATTTATAGTCATGGTATGCATAAGGTTTCTTTTGAAGATACACACTCAAGTCATAAATATAATGGTGACACTTCACAGTAGGGTTGTAAATACACTACTTTTCAAATGTTTAGGGTTTATTGCAGCAAGGATGCATTACATTGATCAAAAGTAACAGCAAAGACATTTATGATGGTATAAATAAATGTTGTTCTGTTTCAAATAAATGCTGTTCTTTTGATCAAAGAATTCTAAAGAAAGTGTCACAGTTTCCACAAAAATAGTAAGCAGCACATCTGTTTTCAACATTGATAATAATATGAAATGTTTCTTGAGCAGCATATTAGAATGATTTCTGAAGGCTCATGTGACACTATAGACTGGAGTAATGGCTTCTGAAAAATCAGATTTACCATCACAGGAAAAAATTACATTTGAAAAATAATTCTAATAGAAAACAGTTATTGTAGTTTTATGCAATATTACTGTTTTTACTGTATTTTGATCAAATAAATGCAGGCTTGGTGAGCCTTGGAACTATCCATTTTATCATAATACATTTTTAATACCTAATACCTACATTTCAAGTTGTAGTATAAAATGACATTAATGAATCTATTATGAACAGGCATGAATTAACAGCAAAGAATAATCTCTTTATAAATTAACATTGTAAATGTTAAAAACTTTACCATTAATAATTCTACCCAATTTTAACAAATAATATATTGTAAAACATTACTAATTTAATTAGTTTGTTTGTGTTTGTAACATGAGCACCTCATGTTTGCATTATCTCACCACTGCAGGAAAGGTTTTTCTAAAAGTGGAACAAACAGTACAACCTATAAGCAGCTGCTGCTTTTTGTTAGTGTTTTTGTTGCTAAGCATGCATATTTAAACAAAGCATGTCAAGAGATTAGAGACATGCTGTTAGAAATGATCTTTTTAAAGTGTCTTTTTTTCACAGAAGTGACCCTTTATCAGTCAGTTCATTATGGTCTGCTCTCTGTAACTTTCTGTTCACTCATTTAAAAAGAAGTGTCAAGACTCAAGTGTTCCTTAGTCATGCCTAGCACTCCCTTAAATGCAATTGCATAACAAACCATGTCTTGTAACATTTGTGTATTATATCATTCTTTTAAATTGATGATGAATTATTAGTGACGCGTGTTCTTTTCTAGTCCCCTTGCTGAGTCACTTCTGTATATAATAATTGTTTGAGGTTGTTTGAACGACCGTTTTGCAGCCATCTAAATCTTCTGGCTAGTATGATGTAATTAGAAACCACCAAAAACTCCACTACTTTAGAGCTAATCCTCATGTAATCCTTGTTTTGGTGAACTCTTCCCTAGATGAGTGTGGTCACTTACTGTATACTGTATATTATACTTACTGTATACTGTATTTGACAGGTGGTTAATGGTGTCGTGCAGACCCCCGGAGATCAGGACGCGGAGGACACGCAACTCATGGCCATTTATGCAAAAGACAGCCAGACTGAGGACAAAGTGAGTTTTTTGTAATGCTTTTGGTACTGTTCGAAATTACACACTTCACCTTTAAATCAAGGGGCTGCATATCCGTGTTAAGCCCTGTTCTGTAATAGCTCAGTCATTATGACTCGACACTTTTCCCCCACAGAGGGAATGGGATTTGGGAGGTCACAGCAACCAGTGGAATTTCCTCAGTGTTCGCCTCTAATACAGCAATGCTGATGCAACACATTGGGATTCTTTTTTTAGTTTGTCTCTCTGGTTCTGTGTTCTCACTAATATTTGTCAGAAATGAGAATTATTTAACTGGTAGTTGAATTGTCGTAACAAATAACTGTTGCATCTCAGAATAAAACTTTGAAAGACATAGACAAGACTTTTATGGCTGTACTGTATCCTTGCACTGTTTTAATTAATCGAATTGTTAAAACAAGTATGTATTTTCCATTACAACATATTTAAGATGTAACTGAATAACTCTGATAGTAATGTCTTCTATCAATTTGGAGTTTATTTAGCAGTTTGAGTTCATTTCAGGATAATTGCATATAGAGGAACTGATTGCCTGCAGTTTTGCTGTGTGTATGCGTTTGCTGTTTATAGCTCTCACTCAACTTCTCTGTAATAGAGATTGGTTACCATAGGAACAGCCCAGAGCCTGAATCCCATGTGTCTTGTGTTTCCTCTCCCCTTCAGTGCTCCATATCAGAGACTGTGGACAGTGCAGACAGCATAGACGCCAGGAGAATGGACATGATATACACCATAGAGGACACACCACCTTGGTACCTGTGTGTGTTCCTAGGTTTACAGGTACAAACACATGCACAGCCACATGTGGACATACTGGCTTGAACATTCAAGTGTAGAGTGATGTGCCCTACAATGTTTAAGATATTCATATACCAACAATGACTCAACTAAGGGTTTATAGCAATGACTAGATCTAGAATTTACAGCAGTAACACTCTAGTTTGAAGCAGTAACCCTCATCTTTACAGCAGTGACCTCTGAGTTAGAACAAGTGACCACTGAGTTTGAAGCAGTGGCCTCTAACTTTACAGCAATGAATTCAAATCGCTGACTCTAAACATTTAGCAGTGAAACTAAACTTTACAGCAGTGACCCTCAACTTTACAGTAGTGACACTTATCTTTTTAGGGGAAGTCGTGGCCTAATGGTTAGAGGGTCGGACTCGTAATCCAAAGGTTGCGAGTTCGAGTCTCGTACCGGCAGGGATTGTAGGTGGGGGGAGTGAATGTACAGCGCTCTCTCCCACCTTCAATACCACGACTGAGGTGCCCTTGAGCAAGGCACCGAACCCCCAACTGCTCCCCGGGCGCCGCAAAAAAAAAAAAGGCTGCCCACTGCTCCGGGTGTGTGTTCACGGTGTGTGTGTGTTCACTGCTGTGTGTGTGCACTTTGGATGGGATAAATACAGAGCACTAATTCCAAGTATGGGTCACCACACTTGGCCACATGTCACGTCATGTCACTTTCACGTCACTTTATAGCATTGAACATCAGCCTTAACTTTACAGCAGTGAAACCTTGACTTGGAAGCAGCAACACTCAACTTTACAGCAGTGACCATCGAGTTTAAAGCAATGAATCCTAGACTTCAAAATCTAGACTTTACAGCAGTGAAACTAAACTTTGAAGCAGTGACCCTCGACTTTAAAACATTGGCCGTCAACTTTCACTGCTGTAAACTTTGACTTGGAAGCAGTAATACTCAACTTTACAGCAATGACACTCATCTTTACAGCATTGACCATCGAGTTTGAAGCAGTGGCCCTTAACTTTACAGCAGTGAAACTGTGACTTGGAAGTAGTAACACTCAACTTTACAGCAGTGACCCTCGAATTTACAGCAATGAATCCTAGACTTAGAAATCTAGACTTTACAGTAAGGTTGTGACGGTGAGGAAATTTTGTGACTGTCGTTCGGCACGCTACATTGAGCAGCCGCGTTCAGTTTTTAATTGTAGTGTCTGTTCTTTTACTGAACTAAATTATTTTTATTACTATAAAAAAATCTAAACGACGTAACCGGTGTTGCGGCTTAACAACGGTATCACCGTCAGCACCGTCTATCGCGGCAAGCCTACTTTACAGCAGTGAAACTAAGCTTTGAAGCAGTGACCCTCGACTTTAAAACACTGGCCCTCAACTTTCACTACTGTGAACCCTGGCTTGGAAACAGTAACACTCAACTTTACATCAATGACCCCCAACTTTACAGTTGTGACACTCATCTTTACAGCATTGACCATCGAGTTTGAAGCAGTGGCCGTTAACTTTACAGCAGTGAAACCTTGACTTTGGAAGCAGGGTGCTCAACTATAGAGCAGTAACATTCAGTCTTACAGCAGTGACCCTCAACTTCACAGCAGTTAATCTTTCACCTCACCTCACTCTTCTTGTCAGTCAGCTCGACTCACTCTCCTCACTGGAGAAATCTGATCTGTGATGCTACTGTCGTTCGGCACGCTGCATTGAGCAGCCGCGTTCAGTTTTTAATTGTAGTGTCTGTTCTTTTACTGAACTAAATTATTTTTATTACTATAAAAAAATCTAAACGACGTAACCGGTGTTGCGGCTTAACAACGGTATCACCGTCAGCACCGTCTATCGCGGCAAGCCTACTTTACAGCAGTGAAACTAAGCTTTGAAGCAGTGACCCTCGACTTTAAAACACTGGCCCTCAACTTTCACTACTGTGAACACTGGCTTGGAAACAGTAACACTCAACTTTACATCAATGACCCTCAACTTTACAGTTGTGACACTCATCTTTACAGCATTGACCATCGAGTTTGAAGCAGTGGCCGTTAACTTTACAGAAGTGAAACCTTGACTTTGGAAGCAGGGTGCTCAACTATAGAGCAGTAACATTCAGTCTTACAGCAGTGACCCTCAACTTCACAGCAGTTAATCTTGGATTTTAAAGCAATGAGCCTCAACTTTATTGAAGTGACCTTGGACTTTATAGCAGAGACCCTAGACTTTAAAGTCTAGTTTCACTGCTGAAAGTTGAGGGTGACTGCTTTAAAGCACTGACACTCAACTTGAAGCAATGGCCCTAGAATTTACAGCAGTGACCCTTGACATTGAAGCAGACATGGATTTGATGTTCTCCTTTATAGAGATAACAGAGATAAAAATACTGATATTTTTTCTTTCCACACCATTCTTCCTCAGCACTATCTTACCTGCTTCAGTGGAACTATCGCTGTGCCCTTCCTGCTTGCTGAAGCCATGTGTGTGGGATTTGACCAATGGGCGACCAGTCAGCTGATTGGCACCATTTTCTTTTGTGTGGGCATCACCACCCTGCTGCAGACCCCCCTTGGCTGCCGGTAAGTGTGTGTGTGTGTGTGTGTCTGTGTGTGTGTGTGTTTGTTAAAGCAAGGTTTAGAATGTGTTCCAGACACATTGTGCCATGGTGACAATGCAAGATACAGGTTCGCATCCAGCCTGCATGGTGAATCCCAAGCAATGCTCCACTGTCGGTGGAGTTTAATTAACTTACAAGTAAGCTCAAAAGTTTACTTATACCTTATATAACTTTTTTTCAGAACCCTTTATTCTGAACAAAATATATAAAAGAATTCAGTCTATGGCAGAAATCCATGTTGTAGTGTTATGTGTGTGGGTGGTTTTATTGATTACTTTCAGGATGTTAGATTCAGGCTTAGTTTGCAAGTGCACTTAAGTTCAGCAAGTACTGCTTCTACTTCACTCTGCTTTTGTTCACTTCCAGAAAATATGGTAGAGAAGATGATAACATCTAGAACATTCTGACCACAGTAAAGACAGCTGTGGAGAATCTCGGCTTGTCATCGTAATTGAAATTATGTAGTGATTGTGCGATATTTTTCAGCCAAGCTGTGTATAAAAATGGAATGCCTGTTCACAATGTAAGAACATTATTAGCACATTGTGATGTACAGAATATGTTTGAACACTGCATCATTCTGCCTCACAATGGTGAACTTTCCATATTTGTTTTTGCACAAAAATGGCTTAAAAGAACATCTCCTTGTCTTCTTTTGCATTTTTTACCACATTATTTATTTATTTATTTATTTTATTGTCAGGTGTTTTTTTCAGTTGTTCCTGCACCTTACAGTACATTCTGTTATTTTGCTCTCTTAAAGGTCCCATATTTTACACCTTTCTGGAGTTTTGTTTTAGGTTTTGATGTCCTTAAGAATATATATTTGCGGTATAAGTACGAGCAGACTGGACAGAAACGATCGTCAAAAATGCTGGCGTTTGCAGCGCACACTTCTTATCAGAAAAGGTTAAATAAAGTATCGTCTTTTGTTGTTATGGGCGCGTCAACAGATTTCTTGCCATATGTCTGTTTCTTGCATCTCACGATTATATCGTGTATGAAATAATGTCTGTGTGCATGTGTATAAAACAACAAACTGACAATTTATATATAATCATTTGTAATTGTATATACATTGTTGTGATTAATTGTGGCTGGAACAATAATGTAGCTGTGGTAGTTACATAGCACCTAGACCTCAAGTTATCATGAAAAAAGCCAGGAAATTTCAGTTTTGACAATATGGGACCTTTAATGTTTTTTTTTTTTCTTTTCCCTGTCTTTCTCCTTCCTCTTGCTGAAAGTGAAAGTAACCTACTAACCTAGATTTAGTGTTGATTAAAATATTTCTCTCAGTTCTGTGAAGAGGAAGGGCGTTCCCAAGTTTTCTTCCACTGGCTGCAAGACACAGACACTTGTATTCATGGTGCTTTTATCTACATTCTCTACTCCAATTACATTTTTTTAAGGCCACTTTCCTGATGTGGAGGACCATTAGCCTTGAGATTTCTTTGAAAACATTTCTCTGTTTTAATGACACTCAACCCGCTTAGACACACAAGGCTGACCGCATTTTATTATGAAAGAGAAAAAAAGAATTGGAAAGTGGAAGAGAACATGACAGCTTTCTTGTGTTGTAAGAGCTGCTTTTGTTGGAACAAAATCTGTCAGTTGTTCGTGTAACAAGGTCTGGAGAAGTGGGTCTGTTCAGTTTTAGCTGTGGTCATCGGTGGATCTTTGTGCTTGTGATTCATGTTTTTAATCACTCAGTAATGAAGGCCTTCAGCTCTTTATAGTGCTCCAATTCAGACAGTGCACTGTGTCCGGGACACTCTGTAAGATTTAAATCAGAGGTGGAGACCGGAAACTGAAAAACCTTAAACTACAAATCAGTCATTTTAGTTTTAAATTCACTGTCATATCCAGTATCTCATGCTACTTATAAATAAATTGTAACAAATATCTAGGATATTAGCCAGTAAGTATTTTGGTATTTATTATGTATATGTATGTTGTATGTTAATTTCTGAAACTGTTTAAAAAAAAATTTTCAACAAAATTTCAACAATGATGCATTAAATTGTATACAAATGACACAAGCAAATACATTTGTTACAAAAAAAAAATTTAAATAAATGCTGTCCCTTTGAAATTTCTATTCATCAAAGAATTCTAAAATACTGTATCATGGTTCCAAATTCAGACAGTGCACTGTGTCCGGGACACTCTGTAAGATTTAAATCAGAGGTGGAGACCGGAAACTGAAAAACCTTAAACTACAAATCAGTCATTTTAGTTTTAAATTCACTGTCATATCCAGTATCTCATGCTACTTATAAATAAATTGTAACAAATATCTAGGATATTAGCCAGTAAGTATTTTGGTATTTATTATGTATATGTATGTTGTATGTTAATTTCTGAAACTGTTTAAAAAAAAATTTTCAAAAAAATTTCAACAATGATGCATTAAATTGTATACAAATGACACAAGCAAATACATTTGTTACAACAAAAAAAATTTAAATAAATGCTGTCCCTTTGAAATTTCTATTCATCAAAGAATTCTAAAATACTGTATCATGGTTCCACAAAAATATTTAGAAGCACAAATGTTATCAACATCAATGAAGAAATGTTTCTTAAGCAGTAAATCAGCATGTTAGAATGATTTCTGAAGGATCATGTGACACTGAAGACGAGCATTTTCAGCATCATTTTTTTTTTGTTAGAATGATTTCTGAAGGATCATGTGACACTGAAGACTGGAGCATTTTCAGCATAATTTTTTTTTAACATAATTTGCAAACCATTACCCTCAGTTGCCTCACCTCTGCTTTGAATAAGGATCAAGTGCATTCGATAAAACAAATGCATACATGCTGGTCTCTTATAAAATAACTATTGCGTCAATGTCTTATCTACAGTCCTTGGGTCTGTTTATGCGCATACAAACATATAAAACATCAATCACAGCAACTCGGGAAACTGTTATTTCCTCCGTAAGTTTCCACTGTTAATGTTTTGCTGCTGCACTGCGAATTAATGTCGTAACATAGTTTTATATGACGCAAAACCCCCAATAGGGAAGCAAGTGGCAGTGATGTCTTATGTGGAGTAGATTGCAGGAGGCTGAGTATCTGTGGAGGTCTGATCCTTTAGGCTGTTCATGTAATAAAGACATTTAGCCGCTGCCTGTTCTGTGTTTGGCACTCAATGTTCTTTTGTGGCCACTTGTATAAGAGTGCCGTCTGATGTCTGTGATCCCTCCGTTTTGACGTCACTTGCTCGTGGCACATGCTGTCTCCAGGGAAACCTGAGTGAGTGCCCGAAAAAAGAGGAAACGAGAAGAAGATAAGAGTGGAGTTAGACTTAATGCGTGCTTGTGTGCATATTTGATGATCACCAAAAACTATATTACTATATCAGTTATACTAATGGAAAACAGAAATGAATGACCTGATACCTGTTACATCTACCTGAACAATTTTTACACTGAACCGAGGATAAAGAACTGATGTTTTGACCTTTATCTGAACACACATAAGGCAAACCTTTTAAATATAATCTGTGCTCTTCTGTTGTATTTTTATAAAACATGGTTCTTTTGATGTTACTGTGTTTATTGTCATTGCTGGGTCATGATGACCCTCCTCCCCTCTTTGTTGCTCTGCAAATTAGCATCAAGTGTTCTTAAGCAAAGATAATCAATTTCAAAATCAATGGTCTTTTTATAATTATTATTTTTCATTATTATTATTCATGTAGCACCAGTCTTTACTAACCGACTTAAGAGCCCACATCAGTGATCATACGAGTAGTGTGTGTAGAGACATCTAGTGGTTAGAGCAGAAGTGCCCAAACTTTTTAATATGAAGGGCTAAAATTAGTTGATTGAGGGGTTGAGGCCAAATATAAATGTTGCATTATATCCAACTATATTACTGTATAATAAAATATATTAAATGACAGAAAAATAATAATAAACAAAAATTGTAATGACATTTATTTATTTATTTTTACTAATTAACTTTTTTACATTTACATCAATACAAAAATAAAACAAACAAAAAAAAAATGCCCAAACTTTTTAATATGAAGGGCTAAAATTAGTTGATTGAGGGGTTGAGGCCAAATATAAATGTTGCATTATATCCAACTATATTACTGTATAATAAAATATATTAAATGACAGAAAAATAATGATAAACAAAAATTGTAATGACATTTATTTATTTATTTTTACTAATGAACTTTTTTACATTTACATCAATACAAAAATAAAACAAACAAACAAAAAATATATATATATAAATTAGAAATAAACATACACTTCAATGTAATTTGATTGATTGATTGATTATTTATTTATTGGTTAAGAGCTCCTCTTGGTGACTATTACCTGTCTTTTCTCCTCAGCCACACATAAATGTTTCCAAGGAGCAAGAGTGTTGTGGGTGTGTCAGTACAAACTGTTCTTGTGAATGATTGTGTTTTTGTGTGTGTTTTGCCTCCAGGCTTCCATTGTTCCAGGCTAGTGCTTTTGCTTTTCTCGCCCCTGCAAGAGCCATCCTTTCACTGGATAAGTGGAAATGTAACGCAACAGGTACAGGCACACACGCTCATGTCCCCTCTCAGTCACACTTAAAAGCGCTAACCTGATTGTCCTGTTTCTCTGCAGCTTTTCCTTTATTAAATGCCACAGAGCTGCCACACACAGAAGACATCTGGTACCCCAGGATACGAGAGGTGTGTTAAAACAAAGAATGAAAGAGATGAGATCAGACGAATTTAATGAGGAACATTAATGTAAAATTGATCAAGGAAGTGATGGTGTGAAACTAATGAAATAAAATGAGGTGACAAGTTAAGGCAGATTGGTTATAACAGGTTTGGCCCATGGAACTGTGTGACCCTAAATGAGATCACAGAAAGGGCTCTGCATTGGCATAAAAAACATCTATAGAACCACTAACACTGCAAACGTTAATAAAAAGGGGTAGTTAACAAATCATCTTTACATTAAAATTTAATATTGCAATGTATTAAATACATAAATACTTTTTTGTATAATTTTTATAGTTAATAAAAATCTTAAAATGTGACCGCGGTAATATGAGCTAATTTAAATGTTGATTAAAATAGTTTTACATGAGTTTTAGCATGTCTTTTAATGTCATACAAATAACAATGTGTATTTAGTGCACTAAAATAAATGAAAAAACAACTTGGGGCAGATTTATGTTGAGAGTGAATATACTGTAAAGATAAGTGAAAACCAGATACAGCAGAAAGAGAGAGAGAGAGGCAGAAAGAGAGAAAGAAAGAGAAATGTGTAATTATATTATAATATTGAATATGTAACTTTGTTTAAAAATTGAACAACTATTATGTACAAATTGAAGCAATAATAACTAGATTGCACACGCTCGCTGTGTGTGACATGAAAATTCAGTTACCTGGACTTTCAGTGGAGGTACCACTATAATATCTTAATTTGTGTTTTGAAGATTAGCTAAAGTCTAATGTGCCTAAAGTGGGTTTGGAACAACAGTAGAGTGAATAAATGATAAATTTAAATTTTTGGATGAACTATCCCTTTATCTGTCTTTTAAGAGACTTTTGCCTAAACTGAAGACAAAGCAACTTGAGCCAAATTTGATTAAATGGAGCATTACGCTGTCTGGAGGCCTTTGTCAATGACACTTTTCAACCTTTGATCACTTTTAACCTTTAACTGCTTTTTTTTTTTGCAGATCCCTCCTTAGTCGTCTTTTTGTTTAGTTTATATATGTGATCAGATTTAAGCACAACTTCTTTCTCCCTCTCTCTTTGTCTCTGTAGATCCAGGGTGCTATAATAGTCTCGTCTCTAATAGAGGTGATCATAGGGGCCTTGGGTTTGCCAGGTATCCTGTTGAAGTACATCGGCCCGCTCACCATTACCCCTACTGTCACTCTCATTGGGCTCTCGGGCTTCCAGGCGGCTGGAGAGAGGGCAGGCAAACACTGGGGCATCGCCATGCTGTGAGTACAGTTCTCACACACACACACACACGTTTGTGTATATAACCGATCTGTAGCTCTGTGGAGCCAAAATGTAAACTCTCTCCCCTCTTTTAAACAGAACCATATTCCTGGTGCTGCTGTTCTCTCAGTATGCACGTAACATCCAGTTGCCGCTCCCCATCTACAAATCCAAGAAAGGTTGGACGTCTTACCGCCTGCAGCTGTTCAAGATGTTCCCAGTGAGTTTCCAAATTAATCCAAGACAAACTCATCTGTTCATTTCATTCAGGAATTGAGGGAAAATACTTAAAATGTATATAATAAGCGAGTATATCATGAATCCGTTTTCCAAATCGTGTTTTTGGCTTATCATGAATCACTACGGTACACCTATGATAAGTATTTATATTCTGACTATTTTAGACTGCGGAGTAGCCCAGTATCTGCGTTCCAATACCAGTGTTCTTCCGCAAGATGCATGCAGTTCTGTTTATTGACCTCCAAAGTGGCAAAAGTTTACGGACTGCATCTTTAAGTATAGTAAATGTAGTATAAATATAGTATATAGGCATATATGCCGTTCCATTCAAACATATATTTACTTATTTACTTGCTTACATATGTTGTTGTTGCCAAACTTAAAAAAAAACACACACTAGTTGCATAGGAGACGAAATAAGAATATTTATTGATTATTTTATTTTATTATTTTTGTTTTTCTCAGTGCCATTCCATTAAAAATATTTAATTATTTACTTTTTTGCTTACTTGCTTATTTTGTTGCCATTGTTGTAATAAAAAAACAGAACCTCGTAGCAGCTAAAATCAGGATATGATCATTTCTGGTTTTGTTTTGTTTGTTTATTTTACATTCAAGTGATAATCTGTGATTCATTTCAAATTGCAAATGTTGCTTTTTAAATCTATCAGCAGGTAAAGTTGTTGGACATGTGTTGTTCCGTATCTCAATAGTCTTGTAAGTTGCGTTTTTCATTTCCAAAATGATCCACATTCTCATAAAGTAATTATCATGATCATTAGCAGTCTGGTGTCTCTAGCTCCCAGCAGCGTGAGCTGGCATTTTCTGAGTCTTGGCACAGCTCGTAATCTGCCGTTAGCTCTGATGACAGCCGTAATTATCATGCTGTTTCAGAGATGAGGTCTTTTTGGCCGGTGTTTTTAAATGGAAGCACAGCAGACAATGACATGGCAATGAAAGTGAGTGTGGGAGGCAGATAGAGGCAAGCCAAAATACACAGATTGATCCTTGATGATGAATCGTGAGGGAGTTTCAGCTTGCAGTGTTGTCTGCTTGTTTGAAGGCTAGTGAGGGAGGTTGGATAACATGTCTGGCTTTGTGTTCAGCAGTCTGGGTTACTCATCAGAATTTAACATGAGAAGAGTTTCTTTTAAGTAACTGGGTTTATCTCTCTTTCTGTCTCTCTGTAGATCATCATGGCGATCCTTGTGTCATGGTTTCTGTGTTTCATCTTCACGGTGACTGACGTGTTTCCTCCTGAGAAGGACAAATATGGGTTCTACGCCCGAACAGACGCCCGACAGGGCATCCTGGCAGCCGCCCCCTGGTTTAAGATCCCCTACCCCTGTGAGTGTTACGTGTGTGTGTGTGTGTGTGTGTTTTGGTTTTTTCCAAAACTTAGTGAACTGCACATGTTTCTGTACCTCTTTAGGCCAACCTTTGTGAAAACCAAGTACACTAGCATACTTTTACAGTACTTATTATGAATATAATATACCTTTAAGTGTGAACTGAATGTAATGTTTTAGGAGACCTATTTGTTAATTGCAATTAAATGAAAAGTATTATAGTTTACATTTATATTAGATGTAATAAGCTTAACTTTAGAGTGTTTTTGACGCACTGAAGTAGGGAGTATTTTTTTGACCCATCAGAGTATTCAATAAATCTTTATGGGGTAGGAATTTCTGTATGCTAAACCTGATAAGATTACCCATAATGCTTTGTTTTAGTCCAGTGGGGGTTGCCCACAGTGACAGCAGCAGGGGTGATTGGAATGATGAGTGCTGTGGTTGCCAGTATTATAGAGTCCATTGGAGACTATTACGCCTGTGCCCGTCTCTCCTGTGCCCCGCCTCCACCTGTACATGCTATTAACAGGTACAATACAAGGACACAATTGCACATATCAAAACTGATAATACATCGAGCATGTTTGGAATCCTGAGGCGCTAATTGGAATCTCTTTTTCTCAGAGGGATCTTCATGGAGGGTCTTTCCTGTGTTCTCGATGGCATCTTTGGGACAGGAAATGGCTCCACATCTTCTAGCCCAAATATTGGAGTGCTGGGCATCACCAAAGTAGGATCTTTTCCTATTCGGCCTCTCTGATATTTCTTTAGCAGCATGTGTTAGACTGGCCTTCAGTGACTGCAGTGGATCATTAGCACCCTAAAGACCTTCAATACTGAAGAGAGCAGCTCTTGAGTTTCCTGTGAGCATCATTAAAATAAGCTCTGGCTGGCTATGTACTCCCAGAGGAACTATTTATTTATTACACATGCAACTGCTACTCATGAGGCTGCTACTTTGATTTGAATACTTTTTACAGTTCCATAGTTACAATTTATCCTGACACATTTACTGCAGCAATTTTGGGGGGGAAAAAACGAAATATCACAATTACATCAAAAGTTTGGGCTCAGTAAGATTTGTGCTTCTTTGTAAGACATTAATGCTTTTATTCTGCAAGGATGCATTCAATTTAATCAAAAGTGACAAAGACATTTATAATGTTAGAAAGTTCAAGAGAACAGCATTTCCTTGAAATAGAAATATTTTCTATTTATCAAAGAATCCTGAAAAAAATATCACTGTTTCCCCAAACATATTAGGCAGCACAACGGTTGATACTAATAAGAAAGGTTTCTCGAGCTACAAATTAGAATGATTTCTGAAGGATCATGTGACACTAAAGACTGGAGTAATGATGCTGAAAATTCAGCTTTACCATCACAGGAATACATTACATTTTAAAATATATTACAATAAAAAAAGAGTTGTTTTAAATGATAATAATGTCACAATATTATTTTTTTTTACTATATTTTTGATCAAAAAATGCAGCCCTGCTGAGCATAAGAGACTTCAAAAACTGACCAAACACTTTCAAATCAGTGTATATTTCAGTTTATCTCAGTTGTCACTGTATATTGCGGTGTAATTTAGTAGATCAGTCACAGTGCTTTACCATCACAGGAATACATTACATTTTAAAATATATTACAATAAAAAAAGAGTTGTTTTAAATGATAATAATGTCACAATATTATTTTTTTTTACTGTATTTTTTATATTAACCATGGCATAATCTATTGACATCCATTGCTTTTGATTCTTAATGATAATGCATAAAAAAGTACATGAAGAAAATCACAGCATTTAATAAACGGCACTGATGCAGTAGCGTTCTCTGATTGGTCGGTTTCTTCTCTCTGTGTAGGTGGGCAGCAGGCGGGTAATTCAGTATGGGGCAGCACTGATGCTACTTCTAGGAATGGTGGGTAAATTCAGCGCTCTCTTCGCATCATTGCCGGACCCAGTTCTGGGGGCGCTGTTTTGCACTCTCTTCGGCATGATCACTGCTGTTGGCCTTTCCAACCTGCAATTTGTGGATCTCAACTCGTCCCGCAATCTGTTTGTCCTTGGCTTCTCCATCTTCTTTGGCCTGGTCCTACCCAGCTACCTCAAAGGAAACCCTCTAGTCACTGGTAGATACACAAACACGTGTTTATAAATTCACCACATGGGGAATGATGATTGCTTCTTGAGGGACCAGTGTGGAACCATATTCTTTTCTTCTTTTGTAGGTATAGTGCAGATAGATCAGGTGCTGAACGTTCTGCTTACGACTGCCATGTTTGTAGGAGGTTCAGTGGCGTTTGTGCTGGATAATACTATTCCTGGTAGGTGCAAATCTCATAATGCACTCATACAACTCTCTTCAATCCAATTAAACCTTTGGTGAAAGTTCATGTCACATTTCTAATTTTTTTATTAACAAAATGGTGGTAAATGTAGTAATAACCTAGGAATGACACAGGCATTTTTTTTTTCAGGCAGTTTTCAATCACCATTTGATGTTGACATTATAACATTAAGAATCTATAGCACTATATAAATTATAGGGCTGCACAATTTGGCAAAAAATGATTATATATTAATATGACTATACTACTAATTAAATTTGAAGTAAAACGTTGGCGGAAAACCGCAGGAAGCTCTTAAAACTTCTGTTGACTACCGCTGGTTTATTAGTGCTTCTCATTTCAAGTGTGGGAAGATGGGTGGCATGTGCTGCGTGCAGTGTTCGAACTATACCGTGGACTTTGGGGGAGCCCACTTGTTTTTTTTTATGGGGGGGTCGTGGGCTTACAATGACTTACAAAGATATACCTCCCAATCAGCCCCACTTTCGCTGGCTACCAATGGAGCGTCCTCACCCACGGCTGCCATAACAGAAGAGAGGACGACATGCCAACAAAGCCAGAACTGGGAGAAAGTGGGGTATAGTTTAGTACCAGTATGCTTTCCATTCCACCCAGACAGTGAAATCCGCAGTCTGGTCCCTTAACAAAAAGCCAGCTATAAACTGTTTTCATCCTACAGTCCTTTAAAAACTCTGTATCCTTTTTGATCGAGTTTGTCATCCACACTAAAGTTGGTTCCGCGGCGCCATCGCATTTTCCAGTACCTCCCAATCAGCCCCACTTTCGCTGGCTACCAATGGAGCGTCCTCACCCACGGCTGCCATAATAGAAGAGAGGACGACATGCCAACAAAGCCAGAACTGGGAGAAAGTGGGGTATAGTTTAGCACCAGTATGCTTTCCATTCCACCCAGACAGTGAAATCCGCAGTCTGGTCCCTTAACAAAAAGCCAGCTATAAACTATTTTCATCCTACAATCCTTTAAAAACTCTGTATCCTTTTTGATCAAGTTTGTCATCCACACTAAAGTTGGTTCCTAGCTGTTAATACAGCCTCTTAAAACTTTGACAGCGCAGCATCTGAAGGTGTCTCCATGACAACAGCGAGTGGATGCAATGCAGGTTGTACTCGTTCATCTCTCTCTGTGTGGGAGAACGTGAAAACAGAGACTGATAGATGGAAAAATCACTTTCCGAATTTCCAACATCAGTGTTCCTTTTTTTGGCCTGCACTGCTCCGTCTGCATCCGTGTGTAGATAATTGGATGTGTTTGAATTTAAATGACATACTAATGACGTGTGCCACTATCACACATATTCACAATAAACACAAACACGCTCAATCTCGCTTTATGCATGGCGCAGTTCCGGATCCCGTCAAAGCGAGAGGATCGTTAAAGGTTTACTTAGTGATGCAAGGTTATTGTGCTTTACGTTTGAATTGCACTGCTTGAATTAACGCACAAAACGTAGTTTGCTTGTTCCTAATTTAACTTCCGGTGTCCGAGTCTTGCTTCCAAATCCGTAAGTACCTAAATTGAAATGAAAAATTGAAGTCCCAATGCCTTCAATTTAAGGAAAAGAATTCAGTCATACAAATTAATGTTTTAGTCATCTCGTTTCTGTCGTTAGTTAGCTGCTATTCTGATTAATAGCTCATATCGAAAGAAGCGTTTCTTATTAAATGACACCTTGAAATTGTAGCGTGTTTTGGAGGCGGATAGCTATGTAGGTAAAATGATACGAAAAACCAATGTATATCAGTGCATGGTTTGCAAAAGAAGGAAGACTGGAAGGGAAAAACTTGAGAATGGTTGCACTCAGGCAGACGTGGGGATGACGTTTTTCTTTTGGTCCGAATCTATTGAGGCGCCACATTTTTGATATGTCTTCTGTGATATAGGTGGCACTTCCTCACTGCTGTTCAAGTGAATGTGGTTTATAATGTAGATTCCCACAAGCACTGCAGATGTGGTTTGTTTTTGGACACCGAGAGGATGGGCGGCATTTAGTGGGCATTTATTGACAGGCTCTCCAACTGTACAAATCCTATTATACTGCATTATCACAATCAATTACTAATCATTAGTATTTAATTGGAACTATTAGTTCTCATTTTTGGTTTACAGACATTCTATAATCTTTACAGTAACAACATGTACAACACAAAGCATTTTTAAATGTACACTATCAGTTTGCGGTGCAGCATTGAAACCAATTTCTGACCATGTCATGGAATAGAGACTTCATTGGCCTTCCTGATTTAATAGTGTACAGTTGTGCTTTCACCTCTGGGATAATCTCACTTAGAGCTCCATCTGATGGTTGTATCTTTATTTGAAGCTCATACTGTATCCACGTCAGATTCCGAGTTTCTTTTGTTGACTTGTAATTTATTTATTTATATGTACTACATCTACTATCTTTGTGCAAATCCTTTGCTGCCTGTAAGCAGGAAATGGGAGGTGCAGTTCTGCACTCTAAGGTTTGATTTGATATGCTGTCCGCATGGTGCAAAGAGAAATTGCAGTTTTATATTACCACAGTCTTGGTATTTACTGGTGCTCCCTCTGCGAGTCATTCCAACTAACATGTTTGAGGTGTTTCTCTCTCTCTTTCTCTCTTTCTAGCTGACCTGTAATACAGCCGGATGTTGGTTTCTTTGGTTTGTTTTGTATTTGTTTTTAACAGAAAACCGTAATTATGCAAGGACCATTTCACTTGGTAACACAATGTTACAACTGTTACTTTGTTTTCAGCCTTATGTACACATTTTTCAAAACGTTCTGTGCATTATAGCAGGAAAGAGCACATCGCTAATGTGTTTGAGAATGTTGAGGTGACAATATTTGGGACCTAAAAGCCAGATCTGAGTGCTGTATGTATACAAGGCAATACTAATTTACTTGAACACTTAGAACAGAGTGCTGCAGTAATTGAGTAGAATAAGATCTACAGTTCAAAACTTATGTTGCAAAGAATCCATTACTATAGCACTTTTTGTTCCTAAAATAATCGTGTTATAAAACATTCAGCACTCTGAAGTGTGGTATAATGGTTGTCTGTGAATCCAAAGTAAATGCATCTGAGAAAGTGTGAAGTTTGCCTCTAAATCCCATCCCATTCACACCGATAGTGCTTGCAGTGGAGTCAGTCCTCATCTCCTAAACGTTTCTCCTTGAATAGTTTATTGAAATGTTATTTGAAACAGAATGACATCTTATGAAGACCTTTCACATCCTGTGGTGTTTATTTGTCTTGTCAGTCATTTCAGTCGTTTTTATGGCAGTGACATGAATAAATATTTGTCAAAATATATAGCAAATGGTGATTTCAAAAGGATTTTTAACGGGTCTTTGGTCATTAACACTTAAACATTTATTGATGCTAAATATGGTTTTTAATACGAGAACATTTTGGAAACACACACTGTTGTGCTAAATCTCAGTATCCGCTGAGATTTCAAGGTTGTGATGGGTCTTAATAACATGGTGGCATGTGATTCAAAGAAAAACAACCCTTCAGTTATTTTGAAGAGGGTATATCTGAAGAATATACTTAGTGTCTCTGAATTGTAATACGTTTTTAATGTTTTATTGTTTTAGTTTTTTTGTACATCATTTTGTGTTTTTACTGACAAAAAAAGATGTTGGAAAAAATGCTTATCTTAAAATCATCATGCTGCAAAGCGCACCAATTTGTTACATTTTTATTTGAGTGAAACAAATTATCTTTTTTTTTTTATCTGTAGTTTGAATATATTTGTTAACTTGGATGTTTTCATATTGTATTTTTCTAACATTACTTCCTGTTCATGTTAAAATTAGTACAAATTTAGAAAGTGCAATGCATTGAGACTATTATAAATATATGAATATATATATTGAGTGCAGAATGTGCTATATTCTTGGACCAGCCATTGCAGCTCCTGTTAGTAGAAACAGCAGAAATTGTTTTATTCCATGTTCCTAAAGACATTTAATAAGATGTTTCTGAGCAAATCATAATGTCTTTTGTCTCTTTGTATGCGTGTCTGTGTGTGCATCAAGGTTCCTTGCAACAAAATAGTATTATTACTTATTATTTTATTTTATTATTACTTAAGTATTATTATTATTAAACATTTTATAAATAATTATTATAATGATGATCATTCAGACAAATCAGTTTACATCAAGTTGTCCATTCCTGCATTCTTGACTGTTTTCAGAATCAGACAGTTAGGTGTATGAGGGAAAAAAACGTTCACATTTCAAATGAATGGTAGGCATGAAAGGCTCTTTTTCAGAATTATGGTCTAGTTGCTATGTTAAATGACATTAAAATGTTGGACTCTTTTCTGTCTGCTCTGGTAAACTCATTAGATATATCAGGTTACACATGCCAGTTCTTCACCTCTGATTTCTCCCATCGTGTGTGTGTGTGTGTGTGTGTGTGTGGGGGGGGACGGTAACCGTCTGAGTTAACGTGAATAAGCACACACAACTCAACCAGACTCAATTAATAGATGCAGTCATAGGGGGCTCAGAGAGAAGAAAGTGAAGAGATGCTGTCAACAACAGCAGGTCTTTTCTTTATGCTCCCATATTCTGAATGGTGGGTCCTACGTTATTAATAGAGGATGCGCTGCTTATTTAGCAAATAATATGATAGACCTACAAGAAGTGTCTCATGGTAAAGATGTCTACAGGACAAATCTTTAATCTCTAACACTGAAAATGTTTTTAAAAATCTGTTTAGAAATGAACAAAGTATATTGTACTTTTTTTACTTCGTACTAGTAGTTGTTTTGAACCCTGAGCTCCCTAAACTCTTTAGCAGCTTTTACTGTATGAACCCTTTAACTGTCTGTGCTCCCAACAGATGGGTAGATCATAGCTGGTAGCAGATTACAAGAGATTAAAACAATATCAGTCTTTCCCAGCTCAGATTTGCTCATTTTCTGACCCGTGACGACCCATGATGATCTAATCCTCACCCTCAGAGTGTCACTTACCCAAATTTTTCACAGAGAGAGCAAATGTGTTCTTAGTCATTGAACTGCCTATATATAGTCTGATTTAATGTAACCATACTTGTTATTTTTACAAT